CCAACTCCGCAGGCGCGACCTAACAACATTAGTATACAAAGTCAGTTTTTTGGTCTAATTCAATAAGTAGCAGCAGCCAGTGCAAGTTCTGCACCGTCCGAAACTTCCCCAACTTACCTGCAATCCCTTATACTTGATGAGTTCCTTTTTCCGGTCCACGACGTAAAACAGACCATTCCTAAACACGGCAATGTCGCCGGTGCAGAACCAGCCATCAGATGTAAAAGCGTCTTTGTTCGCGTCGGCGTTTTGGTAGTAGCCTTTACATACTACAGGGCCTTTGACGAGCACCTCTCCCGGTGTTCCGGGTTCAACGTCGTCGCCACTGTCGTCGACAAGTCTCGCGCGCATATTAGGTATCAAGGGCGCCACAGAACCCGTATCATCGTGCGTGCCCGGGGGCATAATCGTCGTGGAACCCGTCGTCTCAGACAGACCCCACGTTTGGTCGATGAAGCAGTCGGGCCCACTGCCGAATTTCTGGCTCGCGGCGTACTGGAGGTCTTTTCCTAGTGGGGCGGCGCCGCTGATGGCTAGCTCGAGTGTCGCGAATTGTGTTGTTGCGAGGGGGCTCTTGGCGATGAGTAGGTAGATGGGCGGCACGGTGAAGAAGAAGGTTATGCGGTACTGTGCGTTGTAGGCGAGGAATTGGGAAAAGTCGAATTTGGGCATCCAGTAGACGGTTCCGCCAATGTAGAAGGGGTTGATTAGGTAGCCTTGGACACCTGCAATGTGAGCGGTTGGCAAGTCTAATCGGGAATTCGAAAAGTCAGTAAAATGTTTTGCAACGGTATTTCTCTTCTACCCTCCACCTTGTTTTTCTTTTTCTTTCTTCTTCTTCAAAACACAGCCATGACTTACGAGCGATGGTCCTATACTCGAAATCCGGTCTCTTCTCCTTTATCCAGCTCTTCATCATATCCCCCGTAGTAACAGCCTGGCTCACCAGATTCCTATGACTCAACTTGACACCCTTTGGCAACCCCGTCGTCCCCGAACTATAAATCAGCACCACCAGACTCTCTTCCAACTCTTTCCTATCCACGATCCTCATCCACGGCAACCTGTCCTCCACATCGACCAGATTCCCACTCTCTTGTGCCTTTCCATCATCATCACCAGTCCCTATGATTCTCAAACCCCACTCTCCCTCCTCACTCATAAGCAGTACCCTTTCCCCACCGCATTTCCCCCATCCAGCCTCCTCAGCAGCTCTAATGGACGTCTCCAGTGTAGCTTGGCATGTGACTAGTATCTTGCTTCCGGCACCTTGTATCTGTCTGGCCAGCTCACCCACGGTGCTACCGGCCGATGCGGCAGAGAAGATGCCCCCAGCGCCAATGACGCCGTACGCCAGCACAGGCAACAAGTAATGTCCCGTGGAAATCACAGAGACTACATCTTTGCTCGCGCCGTGGGCGCCGATGCCAAAGTGTTTGCGCAGCGCGGCTGAAGTCGCTTGTGTGAGGGTGCGAGCGCGCGACTTGTCTAGCACATCCAGGTCTGGGTTGGCGGCCGAGACGTGTAGTAGTGTGTTTGCTTTGGCATAGCTGTGTTCCGAGTCTGTTTTTTTTTGATGAGTATCGTTAGTTTTCTAGGAGGGTGATTTAGGAGTTTTAGGATATGAAGGCAGTTATTTTCTCACCGAAAAGAAGGGTCAAGACGTCGAGGTCGGGTATTGGATAGTCTTTTGCAGCGCGGTATATAGTGCCGGTGGGTGTTTTTTCTACAACGGTCGTCATGGTACTTTTAAAGCTCTCTATTAGATGAACAAGATTGGCACAAGTACACTAGACAAGGTCCGACAGACAAAGACAGAGGTGCTTGTGATAGTCGATGATATCACGACCAGCCATTGTCGTCAACTGGTACATTTGGATAGATATACTATGTACTAAAGTAGCCGCAAAATGGCCCTCACATAGCTCAGCGCCTTCCTCGGTCCACGGACTCCCCATGTCTAGAGTGGTCGACGATGCATGCGGTGGCTTCGGCAACTTGAGATGTCAGTACTAGCGAGTAAGCGGGGTAAGTTGGGGTAGATCAACAATCATGGTGCTGCTCCCAACTCGGACCCGTTATTTCGAAGCTATTCAGCTGAGACACGTCCAGCTCAAGCTCGTGTCGCCGCTCGCGCTGTTTACTGCTTGTTTCGCTCGCCTTCTGCGAGGACTTGCGTTGTGTGCATATAAAGTGTACGATCTGAACGGCGCTGTTCATCCTCTGCGTTTAGCACTTGGCTCGTCGCGTGCATCTTCAGCATCATCTGCGTCGACTTCATCTCCCTCGGTAGGCTTGCCAGACCTTTTCGGTTTTCGTCTCTTACGCTTGCTCTTGACCGGCCGCTGTTCCGCAACAGGAGCGATTTCCACCGCCATAGGAAGCACAGCTGGTCGCGCAATTGCAGGAAGCTCACTCTCATTAATCTTGTTCTTGCGCATGCCTCTCGGATTCTGTGTCTCGAGCAATGCAACGTATTCGGCAGTACGTCTGGTATGCTCGACCTTGGTCATGATCTTCCAGTTCTCAGGCTTGTCTGCCTCTCTCCACTTTTGCCAAACGTCGTCGTGCATTACACTTCCGCTGAGGACGACGAAAGCGCAGCCGTTCCAGAGCGTGTGGACTGCTTGGATGGGCAGCCACTTGGACCGTAGCTCTCCATGCTGTGTCAGCCAGTATGCGACCTTTGCCGGTGTAGGGCACATGTTGCGGAGATGCGGTTCGACGTATATTGTCCGCTGATCCCAGAACGACAGGCCGTTGTCATCAGTGACGTGGAATGAGTTGTGGGGCAGGTATTTGGGCGGGTATGAGGAGGGCTTGCGGCGGACGTAGTAGCTGTTGCTCGAGGTCTCTAGCATGTTTGAAGGATGGTCGTGGAGAGCCTGTTGGAGGAGGACTTGGGAGGCTTCGGGCTTGAGGGAGGAGATGTTGGGGTGTTCGAGTATGGCGGTAAGGTGAATGTCTGGCCTGCAAGTCAGCCATGGAGCACACAGAGACGCGGGTCTACGTGCACTTGTCTTCCCCATCGACCTTCCTGTAGTGGTCTTGAAGCCACTTGGCCCGCTCTTCTTCCTGGTGCGCATAGTCGGTGAAGATCAGCTCGATGCCAGCAGCAAGCTGGCCAATGTATTCCGGTGTGACGGGCTTGGTAGTGAACCTGGATCCGGGCTTTGCAGCCTTGGCTCCAATCTGTTCTGGCTGGTAAGTAGGTGAGTTTGTACTTGTCTTCTGCATGGCCTCGACCAGCGCATCATCGCCGTCGCTCTCCGCGGGCGCTCTGGCAGGCCGGGGTCGCGGCTTTTCGCGGACCCCTTTGAGCCTCAGCGCTCTTGGGACAAACATGGAGAGGGTAGTTGGTCTCGCTCAGATGCTCGCGAGCGCAATTGCCGCCACCATTCGCGACGCGCCGCGGCTCAAGCACGGACCTTACGTCAGTCCCCAGTTTCTCAATTTCCATGCGACACTTACTACTACTACTACTACTACTACTACTACTACCACTACCACTACTACTACTCCACATACCCTCGAACCGTCAAAATGGCCAAGGAGAAGAACTACAACCCCGTCCAAGAAGCCAAAAAGGCCGAGAAGCAGAAGCAGATCCGCAAGCAAAAGGCCAACCTCCAGACCCAGCGCAACGAGAAACTCGCGCGCCGAAACCCACATCGCATACAGCGCGACATTGACAACCTCAAAGAACTCGACCAGAGCGGAGCTATACGGCCACATGAGCGACAACGGCTGCAGGAGCTGGAGAAGGATCTCGCAGCAGTGAACAAGGCGCGCGCGGCGCTGGGGGACAAAGCGCCAGTCTTCAAACCAGAGCGACAATACAACAACAACAACGATGACAATAGAGAGAGGGGCGCAGAGCAGAGAGACCGACGCGCCGGCGTCCTGGGCAAGAGATCACGAGACGGCCAGCGCAAAGACACGGATAGTAGTGACACCGACGACGACGTGAAGCGCATACCCATGCCACGCGACACACCACCGCCAATACCAAAACGCTTCCTCCAGCCCGAACAAGACGACGCTTCTGCTGCTACAACCGCCGCCGCTGCCCCCGAACCAAAGAAACCAACCATTGTCTACGAAGCCGCGCCCCAAGTCCGCGATCTGCGCAAGGAAGCAACCAAATTCATGCCCGCGTCTGTGGCGCAGAAGATCAAGTTGGCAAAGGGCGAGGGACGCCTACTCGAGCCGGACGAGTTTGACAAGCTGAGAGACGAGGGTTATATGAATGAGAAGAAGAAGGAGGAGGAGGAGGAGAACAAGTCGACGGCAGCAGGGAAAGAGCAAGCGGAGAAGAAGACGGCGGCGCAAACGGCCGACGAGGAAGAAATAGACGCCTTCTTGGAAGGCGTGCAGAATGCAAGTGTCAAAGATGCGGTAGAACGGGCCGCCGAGGCTGCGGTGCAAGAAGCCGAGTATGAGATGATGGCTGCGGAGGCCCAAGGGCAGATGGAAGGTATATCTGGGGAAGCGAGGACGGCGGAGAATAAGCTTAACCATGTGTCGATGGAGGAGGTGGAAGATGAGGACTTGTAGGCGTGGCTAAGTTTTATCAAGGAAGCTCGTTCCATGTCTTAGGTGGTTTGTCTAATGATGGGACTTGAAAAATGTTTCATGAAGCTTTACGTGTCGTTGTCGCACTGATGAGGAACGTGGCAACAATACTACGGGCCAAACATTGCTGTTTTGCTCCTGAGAACATCTTCCTCGCGACATGTTGACAATCGAAGCATGCATTCATATGTACCTGCTCACAGGACGATTGTACAAGAAGTCACGGCAAAGGCGCCAGTATGTTTGATCAAGTCATTATTTTATTCATTGGTAGGGTATATAGATACGCGGCTTTCACGCCGAAAGGGTATGTTTCGTTCCATCCATCGCAATACCATGTTGGTCCATTCTCAGGTCTTCATGCCATACAATAGAGAGGAGGAAGAAGGCATCGTGGCTACCAGGCGAACAAGAAGAGGAGTGCTTTACTTCTTCTGACCAGTGGCGCCGGAGAGGGTGTCGGAGATGCTCTGGCCAGCGTTGGAGGCCATGTCCTGGGCTTGCTTCATGACGCCCTGGCCCTGGTTGGACGCATCGTCGCCGCCGGAGCGGGTTGCGTCACCAAGCTTCTGTCCGGTGGACTTCTGGCCCTCTGGTAGTGGTCATGTTAGTTACATGTTCAGTGTTCAGGAGAGGAAGGGAGAGATATCGTACCAGGCTGGACGGCGCCGGCAATGCGGTCACCAGCTCCGGTGAGGCTCTCGCTGGCCTTCTCGGTGGTGGACTTCTGGGAGTCGGGGGTGACTGTGACGGTGGTTAGATGGTCGTCCTGTGCTGCATGTTTCGACGGTGAGTGAGCTTACTCTTCTCGGAGGCTTGCTCGCCGAGGCCCTTGCGCATGGAGTCAGACATGTTGATTGTTGGTTGGTTGGAGGTTTGGAAGTGGTAGTTGTAGTTGGTTGGAGTTTGAGAGTTGATTGTGTGGTGAAGGTTCGAGGAGAAGACAGCAGAGACATTCTTATATACTACCTTTCTGCACCATGGCAGTCGTACGTCATATGTCTCTAGACGAGCAGCTGCAAAGGGTGTGGGTGAGAGAGGGCAGCGCAGTGTTTAGTGGGCCCTGTTACTTGCTCCTTCACATGGTAGAACTGCCAGGATGTATACCAGTTTGCAGGCGCCACAGACGGCCACGATTGGTAGATCACTACTTCCGCACGGTGTGATTGATGGTAATCTGCGCCTTTGCATGGCATTCGCGTCATCCGGCCACGGCTCAAGGTGGATACATGTTCCAGATCGTTTGCCGCAGGAGGATTACTGCCCCGCTAAAGGTTAAGATGTGCTGGACAAGTTGGAACGAGGGGCATGTGCTGCCGCGGTTCCCCCTCAGCTGCGAGTGCTTTTTCAAGTGAATAGTTGGTAGCGTAGTAGAGAGATAGTTGGTAGCGTCAGGTTAGCCTCAGTACCTTCTTGATAATGGTAGACTATCCCCTCGCCCTACTTCTAGCCTGAAGCCATACTCCGGAGCAGAAGCCGTTGTTTGCCAACGTCGGGTACACGAACAGTTGGAAGGTTGAGTGGGGCAGTACCCCGCTGACGTATGTTGGTGGCACGAACAAGTCACGCAGCACGTGACTAGCGTCATTGCTACGCCACATCAGCCCGAACAGACGCGTACAGACGTCTTACAGAGCTCGACGCGTCCAGGTTCTACTCTATCATCCCGCTCGCACCCACGCAAATGGAAAGTGATTCTCCACGCAGGAGCGCATAAGAGTCGTTACTATTTCTGGCCTTTTGCCGCTGAGCGAAAACTTGTTTGACATTTGTCGCGAAGAACCCACTTTTCATCTCGTCAACATCGTCAATGTGACGACCCATCCTTTGGCCGCTGGACTCAACATGTGCACATGCTGCGCACAATCATGATCGACTGTCCTTTGCACGAGCGGGCCGTTATCCGTGGTTGAGCTCTGCGTTGTTTGCTGTGGACCTTGGCTAATCTCACAGCGTCAGCAGCAAAGCCGAGTCTTGCCAACCACCACGCGCTCAACACCGAGTCTGTCCCACAGCAGTAGCAATAGGATGAAGGACTGGCCTGTTCATGGTCGCCGGTGATGCCTCGAATTGAGATCGGAGAATTTACCATTGCCTATGCTGCCGTGCGGCGAGGTACATGCGGCCGTCTCATCAGGCCGACTATGATCATCCTTGGGGATCAATCTGCGCACAACTCAGACAATGCCTGCGACGCGGCACAACAGACATCGATAGCGCCTGGCGAAGATCGTCTCTGGCACTCCAAACTGCCAACACCGAGTGTGTCGTGCTAGCTGTCAATATACCCCCGAAGCTCGTGTTTGATGAGCAGCACCAACAATGTTCGACAACTGTCTTGCTGGGGTTGCATCTACTCGAGACTCCTCGGTGCTCGAAAGTATCGCCGATATGTAGTGCATTCGCCGTCGCGCAAAGTCTCGACCAAAGGATCGTCTGCCGCACGCGATGCTCCTGCATGCAGGCGTCTGTGAGGCTGGGCAACTCTTCACAAGCCACAAGCTAACTGACGAAACAGGCAATATCACAGATAAACACCCAATGAACCTTCAATCTCCCTTATTTGCCGTACAAAATGGTTTTCCATCCTATCTTCCCCGTGTTTCAGATCAGATCCGCTCTAGCGCTTCTCTTAAACGATAGTCGCTTCATGATAGGGTCCACGTCGATCAGGCTCCGACAAACCTAATTTCATTTACCGCTGTACAGTACCAAACCTCACCGTTTGGTGTATGGGCATGCTGTCTATCACATGTATTGACTCGCCCACGGCCGTCGCCCGCATGAGTCTCCATGCCTGACAATCCCAAGGCCGCCTCGCTGGCTGTGCCACAGGCTTCTAACAATAGCTCGAGAGTAGTAAGAGCAGGGATGACTTCATGCTACACACAGTGCCATAGGCACGTTCAGTACCGCGAACAGTTTTGCTTGTACAAAGTACTCTCTTGGAGTTCTGGGCGTTGTGGCACTGCCGCTGCCGCTACTGGGATCGCTCTCACACGCCAACATACAGTCCGTTTCCTTGATACATTTGCCTAAAGTTTCGAGGCTGAGGTCGCTACCGTTGCTGCCACTGCGGTTGTTGGGAACATAAAACAGAGACGGGGTCGTCTCCGCTCATGGTTACTTCCTCATAAGGCAATCATCTTTCTTCAAGACTCAAAGTATCCCAATAATTCTTATTATCGCTATTGCTTAATCCACCATGAAGTTCTTCGCAGCGTTATTGGTACCTCTTCTCTACTCTATATCTGCGCATGCCGACACTTTTGCCGACGACGCCTTTACTGCTATCAAACTTTTGCAAGAAAAATGGTACAATTACGATACTGGCTTATGGTAAGTAGCTTTCCACTTCACGCGACCGGCATATCTGACTTCAATCAGGAACGACTTATGGTGGCAGTCCGGCAACATTATTGAGGCCATCGCCCGATTTGGTATCCAAGATGCTGCCTTCAAAGAGTACGCCCTCATGATCGTCTCCAACACATTCGCCAAATCCCCAAACCAGCATGGCGCAACGCAATGGAGAAACAAGTTCTACGATGACGAAGGCTGGTGGGCAATGGGCTGGATCGCCTCGTACGATCTTACGGGCGACGTCAAGTACCTCAATGCCGCCAAAGACATCTTCGAAGACATGACCACAGGCTGGAACACGCCCTGCAACGGCGGTCTCTGGTGGTCAAAAGACCGTGACTATATTGCCGCCATCTCCAATGAGCTCTTTTTCTCCGTCGCCGCCCACATCGCCAACCGTGTCGACGGCCAGCAAAAAGAAGACTACACCAACTGGGCTTCAATGGAATGGGACTGGTTCAAGAAATCTGGTATGATCAACAGCGACGAATTAATCAACGACGGCATCGACCCCACGACTTGCAAACCCAAGGGAATAACCTTCACATACAACCAAGGTATCGTCCTAGCCGGCCTCTCTGAACTTTCCCGCGCCAAAAACAACGGCGACTACATTGAAGAAGCGTACAAGCTCGCCGTGGCCTCGACGACCAAACTCAGCGATGGAAGCGGTATTCTCACCGAGCCTGTTGGAGGACCTCTCGACCCTGTTAGCTCGCAATTCAAAGGCGCGTATGTACGGGGTTTATCGACGCTTTATGAGAACGCGCCGCAGCAGGGGGTTAAAGAGTTCTTCTATCGGAACGCCAATGCGGCGAGGAGTCAACCGAGGGTGGATGGTGGTGTCATTGTGGATTTGTGGCAGGGGTCCAGTCAGAATGGGAATCCGAGTACGCATGCGAGTGGGATTGATATTATGGTTGCGGCTGCGTTGGCTGGTGATCCGTAGGTGTGCTGTGGTAGGGGCTGTCTTGCGGTTTCTTGGTTGTGTTTTATACCCCCGTTTTCGTTTTGGTTTTGGTTTGGGTTCGGTTGGGGCTGTTTTTCCACGCCAGCGGCTGTTTGGCGCTAGATGGTATCGTGAGGGTTAGAGAAGATGGAGTGTGAAAAGGACACGAATTTTGTTTAATGTAATTACGAACTTAATGACGACTACATATACAAATCTTGTGCCTGTGCAGTGTGCTTCTTTTACTTCGTTATAAACTCTAAATTCAGTAATGCTTTGCTCTGCTCATCACATCGATCTTGGCTCAGTGCTGGGGGTGACGCATTGCTCTTGTCTCGATTAAAGCGGACTGTGCAAGTCACTTCACGCTGTAATGTTATAGATACTACCATCTGCATGCTGGGGATACCAATCGTCTCTTATGCCTTTTTTCCCTTATGCGCAAGATAATTGGTGGATTCATGAGGCATTTTTGTGAGAGCTGACCAATAGGAAGATAAGGCTGCATAATCTACGCCACGTAAACGGCACATTCGCTAGACCTCGAGCAAATCCTCGCCCGAAAGCTCCTAGACACTGCAAAATGTCTCGCGATGAATCTATGTACTCTTGCCGGTAACCATTTGGCATTGGGTAACACCTTCAGAATAGATATCCGGCATTTTTCATCGTCCAGCACGTATTCTTGCGGGGAAAGCATCGGCGTCATCCGGCACTTCCACCAGCCGTGCCCAAGAGCTCGGTATCAACGTTGTTCCTAGCTCCACCGAGTGCACTTATCCCAATTGGTGAACCGGAGACGTCCTCGCCTCACGTAAAAACGTTTTTACCGAAGAGCCTTAGTCAAAACGGCGCGCAATGCAACTCGATAAGACTACTGTACTGCAGCGCACTGTCCTACTCACAGATACCTACGCCCGATCTTTCTGCAATCCAACTAGGCCCAAAGGCTACATGCGACAGCAAGAATGAGTGGCGGCTGCAGGTCTCACAGCTCATGGCAGGCCATGGTAGGTTAGATAAGCCCGCGGTTACACCGGTTTTGAGGTCTGTGTATTGTCAGAAGTGTTGTCATATTCGGTTTATCTGAGGATTTGAGGCTTGCGGCCGGAGGTATGATGTAGAGTTTGCTGTTCTCTTGCCTTTCGCATCGTGTGGGTATCAGGAGCCAGATTATAGGGATTCGAGCATACATATCACTCGTTATTGTCTGGAAGTCCTCTTCACTTTTCACACATCTTCGATTGATCCACTCGACTCTCGTCATGGGCTACGAAGCAAACAAGTACCGGTCCTGGCTACCAGACTTCCTCAAAAGATCGACGCAGGACGATGCCACGCCCGACGAACGAACATCACTTCTTCCGGATTCGCGGCATGAAGAGTGGTCTACGGGCGAAACGTACGAACTCGAGGATGGACAGGCATCCAAAACCCAACTCGTCCTCCAAGAGTTTTGGATCCTGCTCAAAGGATCACTACCAGTGGTCGTAGCATATGCGCTGCAAAACTCGCTGCAAACAGTATCTGTCCTCATTGT